TTTAAGAAGCTGTCAGATCTCCCGAGATCTAACATGACTATAATTTTTGTAAGAATTTCAAAGATCTTATGAGTAAAGGAATATGTTAGAAAATGTAAGATCATGCCTAATTAAAATCTTGAAATATCCCACATAGTGAGCTTTGTAAGAACCAGCATGATCTTGTTAACTTAAAATCTCATAAGATCTTACAAAATCTCATAAGTTTATGATCTTGACAAATCTGCCATGATCTCATGATACTGTAAGATCCCACATCGCAGTATTTTCCTAATGAAAATCTTGAAATATCCCACATTATGAACTTTGTAAGAACTAACATGATCTTGTTAGCTTAAAATCTCATAAGGTCTTACAAAATCTCATAAGTTTAAGATCTTGAAAAATCTGCCATGATCTTATGATACTGTAAGATCACACATCACAGTATTTTGAGTCTTACAAGATCTTGAAAGATCTTACAAATCATGTGACGTCACAGGAAGTAGTTGACAACCCACGATAGCCTTAACAGTAATGGCAGCATATTAAAGAAACTTAAATTTTAATCACTTCAATCAAAAAAATCAATGACGTTCACATTCACATTTAACAACATTTTACACATGTATTATGCATTCATGCAATGTAAGATCTTGCCTAGATTTTACTGTTGCATTAATTTTTAAAGAGCATTGTTTGCTAAAATACCATGCAAGAACTTGAAGGAATCTTGATAACAAGATCTTCTACTATCTTACATGATCCTTGTTCCTAATTCAGGAAAGATCCTGTTAAGACATAGTAAGAAAGATCTTGGATTTGATCTTGCAAGAACTTGAAGGAATCTTGATAGCAAGATCTTCCACTATCTTACATGATCCTTGTTCCAAATTCAGGAAAGATCCTGTTAAGACTTAGTAAGAATCTTGAAAAGATCTTACATTTGATCTTGCAAGAACTTGAAGGAATCTTGATAGCAAGATCTTCCACTATCTTACATGATCCTTGTTCCAAATTCAGGAAAGATCCTGTTAAGACTTAGTAAGAATCTTGAAAAGATCTTACATTTGATCTTGCAAGAACTTGAAGGAATCTTGATAGCAAGATCTTCCACTATCTTACATGATCCTTGTTCCAAATTCAGGAAAGATCTTGCGAATTATTGTCAAGATTCTTGTCATGATCTTGTAAGAAAATTAACAAGATCTTGCTGGGAATTTTTACAAGGGATATATCATATAACATCACAGTAACACTCTATATGATACAATATTCTCAGTGTGTGATCAGTGTATATTCATGATGATGTTAGTACAATATCATACTCATGAACAGAGACTATACAAGGCTAGTCTCTATAACAATATAGTATGACATCAATGGGCAGAGTAAACTAACTGCTTATACTACATGTACATAACCTGCAGATAATAATGGCTAGAGGTTGGATTGTGAGTCACTAAACTTGGCCTCTATCTATACACACAACATGATAAATGAATGTCTTCCCTTCCTCTTACAAGGTAGAGCAAGAGTACAGGGGAAGCTACAGGAATGACTCAATTATACTAATAAAGAAATACCTATTATCATTTTAATCATAAACAATACTCTAATACAATTAATGGTATACACATGTACATGTACAAGCACAGGGTATGTAACTATACATTGAGTCATGACACAACTTTTTTCTTTCCTTAATGAATGGCCACTACATAATAGTTATAGCACAGTAAAAGAGTG